GTGGGGAACAGCAGGGGAAGTCAGGGCGCGCTGTGGAGCAGCGGGGCCTGGGCAGTGGGGGGTCGCTGCCGTGGTACCGAGCTGTGGGGGACCTCGAGCAAGTCACTTGCCTTCTCCAGACCACGATGTTCTCATCAGAAAAAAATCAAAGGACGTAGCAGATGAAATATCTTCGAGGCGGCCTCTGACGCACACAAGGTTGTGCGGTCCCCAAAGCGCCGTGGGCCGTGTTTCTGAGCACCGGCTTCCTGCTCCCGCGGACTCTCTGGTGGATGGGGGTCGAGGAAGTCAGCGGTGGTGTTTGCAGAGTCACAGCCGGGGGTGGGGGGCTTTCCCCACCCCTCCGCCTGGACCCTCCACCCCCACTTCTGCCACAGTCGTGCCCACCTCTCCTCCACACCCCCCACTCGTCCGCCCTCGCCACCACCACACACTAGGGAGCAAGGGAAGAAGGCGGAGGGGGGAGGAGGGGCCGAGGAAGGAAAGAGAGAGAACAGAGCCGTTTCGGTGCGCAAATAGCTCAAATCCGAGCTCCCCACGGAGAACTGGCAGACCAAGGGGAAGTCTTCCCCTCTTCCTGCGTACCCGCCGGCTCCTCTTTCAAATGACTTTTCCTCTATTTCTGAGATTCGTCATCATTCAAAAGAAAGAAAGGCCCTTTGGTCTTTCAAAGGCACCTTTTCATGAAGCCTCTTGTGTGTGTCCGCTTCTCTCTGTCGTTCCGGGGAGCAGCGGGGGGTAGGGGACCTGAAAGAAAAGTGAGGGGGTTTCTGCAAGGCTGTCTGGCGGGAGGTGGGGTGGGCCGGAGACAGGGAGGGGCATTGCCGGGCTGTGCCAGGAGCCTCACCAAAGGGCACTCACCACAGGCTTTCAAAGCTATGGACAGAGAAGTCAGGGCGAGGAGAACGCGGTTACAGGTGGGGAAGATTCGTTTTAGGAAAGGCCATTCCAGCTGTCTCAGATGCAATCAGTTAGGCCCGGCCCCTCCCTCACGAATCAGGATCTTTGATCTCTGGGGTGAGGAGGGAGGCACCTTGGTGCAGACTGAGGAAACAGCACCCTTTCGGGGGCATTTATTCTTTCCAATGTACTCAAACCTCATTAATTACAGCGGAGGAAGTCGGGGTGTGTTCGCAGGGCGGTCAGGAGACACGTGGGGTGGGCTGGGGCCATCACAACTGCGTTGGGGAACACTGAGCTGTCAAAACACAGCCCCGCCCCCTTCCTCCCTGCACTTGGACAAGGCTTGCCTCAGCTTCCTCATTTATTCTACCCCGAGCACCACACAGGGTCTCCCAAAGGGCCTGCGTGAGAATCAGGTGAGCTGCGCCTCGGTGCTGGCACAGGTCTGCGGTGGAGGGGCAGGGCGGGGGTCGGGCTGGTCTTCGTCCGGTGGTCGGGAACCCCTTTCCTCCCCACCCCCGGGGAAGGTTCACGAGGAGCCCCCCTTTTTCTCCACCCCTTCTGAGAGAAAGGACAGAATTGATCCCTGGAGAAGTAACCTGAATTGTCGCTGAACCTTGTGATTTCCTGCTGGAGGCCGGTCGCTCTGCTCCGCAGGGAAAACGCGCCTTCCCCATTGGCCGGGGGCCACAGGGTCCTGCCCAAGCCCAGAGATCTCCGGCTCATTACATCCTGGGACTCGTTTTCACAAGCAGCTTCAGAATTTGTGGGTGGAAGTGGCTTAGGGGCTGCCATCTATTTGGGAGTGGGGCGGGTGGCAGCTGGGCGCTGCTAGAAGAACTTGAACCTATGTTGGTAACACAAACATCCTGTCCAGAAGAAAAAGAAATGGGTTTGGAAGCCACGGACATACTTGTTACCCTTGTCACCGGCGGCCTGGGCCTGGGCCTGGGCCTGGGTCTGCAGGTGGGTGGCAGACAGGTGGCTGGGGAGAAAGGCGCAGGTGTGAAGGCGGACGCTGGAGGAAGACGCTTAGAACTTCCCATCTCTGTGGGCAGGGGCCTCTCTCCCGCTGCAAACGCCCGCTTTTCAGCACCATTCCGAGCAGGTCTCCCAAATCCCAGCCATATCAGAGGCCACACAGTCGGCTTAATGCTGGTAATGCTCCATGAATTTCAGATTTATAAAATCAATTTCAGAAACACTTTTGGCTTGTAAAGTGGGTCATACTCTCCCCACTGGTTACTCATCCGTGAAACGGATGCGGTGTGTCGCCAAAACACAGCTGCAGCTCTTGAATCAAGTATCAGGAGAATAAAATGCATCCACTCTAAGTGCGCCACGCACGGTGCATCTGGCTCTGTCGTAACGCGTCACCGGTGCAGTGAGGTCACACCCAGCGATAGTCAGGGTGGGGCCGAAGGGGGCTCACGGCTGTTCATGTGGAACATAATGATTCATACACAGCACAACGAGAATAGACTGTTTTGTGTGCTTCCGACTGTAAGACTACTTTTGCCTCACCCTGTGTACGGATCATTATTATTAGTATTACAAAAGGCAAATATTTGTTGAATCTCTCTTACACTCTGAGCGTTGTTCTATGTGTGTGTGTGTGTGTGTGCATGTGTATTCATGCTCACTTACTTCTAACAATAATACTACGAGGAGAGTATTATTATGCCCACTTCACAGATAAACTCAGGGCCATTTGGCAAATTGTGTGTGTTCACACAGATGGGCGATAGAAGTGAATCCAAGGCCAGGTTTGCCTGCGCCAGGCTCACCCTCCTAACCACAGGGACTGCCCTTGGCTTTGCTGGGCGCCTCATGGAAAGCCCTGGAGGGGAGGGGAAGGGTTTGACGCCCAAACGCTGGGCCCAGGCTCTGGGCCTGGGTTTAAATTCTCGACGCTTCATTTCCATGAGCCTGTTCTTTCATCTGGGAAACAGGAATAACAACAGTATCTATTTCATAACTTTCAGAATTAAATGAGACATGGCAGGAGCAGGGTTCAGGACTCGGGAACTGTTAGCTTTTCCTCTTGTTTCCAGCCATCGTGCCAGGCCTGCGGGATGAAAGGGAGTCAGAGGGAGGGGGCGTTGGCCCCAGGTCCACACCGACTCAAAGCCTGGAGACCCAGAGGAAGCTCACTTCCTTCTTCACCCAGGCCCGGCGCCGCCAAAAGATCCTTTAGATGTTTTACCAGAAAGCCTTCTCCCAGCCACTAAGGCAAAATTTTAGTAACCCTCACCCAGCTCCTGGCCAAGGATTTTCAAAGAAGGAATTGAATTTGCATAATTTGAAGAGAGGGACTTGGTGGTTGGGTTGTTATGTCTTTCTAAACATAAACAGGCCCTGGCTGGGTCGCCAGTTGGTTGGAGCACCATCTCCATACCCCAAGGTCATGGGTTTGATCCCTGGTCAGGGCACGTTCAGGAATTAACCAATGAGTGCATAAATAAGCGGAACAAAAATTGATGTTTCCCTCTCTCTTCCTCTCCCTTCCTTTCTCTAAAATCAATAAATTAAACAACATTTTTAAAAAATTTAAATATACACAGAAGAGCCACCCCACAAGGAAAGCACCTGATGGGCCCCAGGGACCGATGGCTTGTGAGCCACTAGGCATCGGCACAGTTTGGCCTGGTATTGGTTCCTGCCACCTCGGAGTCCAGAGTCTCTCCAGGTAGTCGCCTCCCCTAAGAGATGCGAGGACGCCAACCATAAGATCAGCTGTCCCAGGAGGATCGTCAGTTACAGTTACGCCCACTCTTCTGAGAGGGGAGAGGTGAAGAGGAAAACAGGGTTGAACCCTCACTCGTTCCTGCTTCTGAGGGGATGGACGCCCACCGATCCGTGTGCAAATTCTGCTCTGCGAGGGAGGTCAGCGTGGGAACGACCTTGAGGTGAGGGCATCGCTCATTCCCACACCACCAGCCACCTGCTCCCTCTTCTGAGCAGGAGACTTGTGTTCTCGTCCTCTCGCAAGCGACACATGGTCTGAGATGCTGGATGGGAAAAGTGCTCCAGCTCAGCACGTTCCCTTCCCTGTTGAGGGCCGAGGCCGGGCCAGCAGCTGCGCATGCGTGCTGTTGGCACTTCTCCCCACCACCCTCCGGGGTGGAAGTGACAACTTCATATCGCAGATGAGCAGATTTAGGTTCAGAAATGCTCTGTAGCTGCTCAAGGTCGCCTACCTGCTGAGTGACAGATCTGAATCATCGAGCACCGCACCACAGAGCCGCCGTCTCTCGTGCCAGAGACGCTGAGCTCCTTGGCTGGGGCCACGGCCCATGCAGGGCCGGTGTTTCCAGTGGCCCAGGCGACTGTGTGGCTGTCGGGGCTGGGAACCACGGTGCGACAGCAGCCTTCCTACAGGTCACGGGTTTCATCCCATCTGGCATCACGGATTCATGGGGCAGGGAAGAAGCTATGGATATTGTCTACAAAAACAATAAATTTGGTTATGCATAAAAATTGCATACAATTTCAGGTAATCCTGGAAGTTTTGGAGCTTCTGTGTGGATTTCTCCAAAGGGTCTTGAACTCCGATGAAAGCTGAGTCTGTAAATCCTTGGCTCCAAGTTCTTGGCCACACATGGGGGTTGGCTGAGCCTTTAAAGAACTATTTCTGGTTCCCATCCTGGATTGACTGATTCAGCATCACTATGTCCAGAGTCTGGGAGTACATTCCTACATGATTTTTACACATCCAACCAGAAAATAGTCTTTGTGCTGGTGTTTGGGAATTACGACTCTGAGTGATACCTATTCAGCGGATTGGAAGTCATTTCTGTCACTTCCACCTGTGCCACCTGAGGTAAGCTCTTCAACTCTCCTGGCTTTCTCACTCACCTTCTATAAAATGGGAATTCGCCTCCAGCTCCTAGGGTGGACGTGGGATTAAATGAAATATTCTGTGTAGGTGTTTAGTACAGGGTCTGGCACATACATATTCAATAAGTGTTTGTTTACTACTAATTATGTAGAGTTAACTTATCATCTTTGTAATTAATCTCTGTAACTGGTCTGTTCGTGATAGAATTGGGAACAGAATCTAATTTCTAGCAGACTATCAACAAAAATACATGAAAGAAAGGAAAAAAATTCAAAGTTTATTAAACATGAAGAATAACAGACAGAGAAAGGTTTGCATTGAACAGCATAAACACCACCAATATCATGATATACAATTAAACTGACCTCATGTGAACTTTTACCTGGTTAGCAAACACAGTCCTTGTGGTGTTGCCGAAAAGATAATGTTGGGTTGTTGTGTTTGGTAAGGTGCCCCCAAAACAAAAGATCTTTATGTCTTAACTGCTCACACACACACCCTCCCCCATATACATCTGGCCCTCGGTGACATGGACTGACTTTAGAGGCCAAGTCCAAGTCATCATGTGGGCGAAGGCTTTGCTCTTTTTTGAAATGGCATTATTGACTGTCGAGAAAATCCGTGGGAGACCCTGGGCTCCCCAGCGGCGCCTGGGTGCCCTCAGCAGGGGGCTGGCAGGTGGAGAGCGGGCGTCTACCTCAGGGGAGGCAGGGAGCCCAGTGTCCAGCCCCCTGCTGCCTGCTGACCCTGGGCTAGACAAAGGCCTGCACACCCCCTACACAAGCAAGCGGCCGAGCTGGCCTGCCTTGGGATCACTCTGATGAACTCCAGTAAAGTTTGAGCTTTTCTAGAAGGTACACTAGGGGGAAATTAGATAAACTACTGAAAACCAAAGGTACCAGGTTGCATTTTACAGAGGCCTGCTGTTTCACCCTGGGGCCGTGTGGGAGGGCTCCACTGGAAATTCTTCTAGAAGTAGACCCAAAACCCTTTAAACGTCCACTCGGAATTATTGTGAGCTCCTAAAACGAGTGAGTGGAAAGGAAGCTCCGGGTTCCTGGTGCAGCTTCCGAACCAGCCATGGCTGCATTGGCACTCTCCCCGAACAAAGAGCTCTTCAGCTTTAAGGGATGGTTTACAGGTGCCTGTCACATAGACAGATGAAAGACCTACCACAGCTTGCCCTCTTTGGGGTTGCAGAAAACAGCCGCTTTCTTAAGAGAAGGAAACCCCACGTTCCAAGTTCCGCCCTCCCATTCCCTACCTATCCACAAGGATAGCCTGAGCAGGACAGGGCGGTCGAGTTTTGCCTTTCTTTGCACGTCTCGTGCAAAAGAAACAATGATGTGACCTCGTCAGGAAGTTCTGGACCCCTCATTCCAAACTGTCGCAATGATGTTGGCGTGGTATGATTTGGTTTCATTTTTAATGGCCAAGTAATTAATCTCTGAAAGATGCTTTTGATGAAAAGGTGAAAAATGGCAACAGGACTCTTATAAATAGCTGCAGTCTACAGGACTCATAGGACTCTGGCTGATCCCCGTGACCCCAGACCGGGCCTCGGCCCCCCACGCCCTGGAGCAGGGCTGCCTCATGTAGCAGTTAACGGCCCTGGACGAAGGCAGTGAGTCTAGGAGTGAGAGTTTGTGTGTGTGTGTGTGTTGACAGTGACCCACATATAAGGCACCTGGACAGACTCCCACATTTACACATTTTTAAGACGAGGTAGGTTTCTGAAACCTTTCCTGGCACATGAAATATGTTTTATTATGATCTTTTTTTTTTCCTGCAGAAAACATGTGTGATGCTCATTTGATACAAACAATCTAATTCGTAGGAAGACCAGGGCTCAAATACAGGGTTGTTGCTTTGTTTGTTTTTGGCTGCCATTTTATACATCAATGAATTTGGGTGGTCCGGGGTACAATCCCTTTGACAAGGCTCCAGTTGACTATATCATCCGTCTCCACCATAGAGAGAATAATGACATTTAACAACGGTGCAGCAATTGGCCTCTTTACCAAGAAAAAGGCCAGTCCTGAGCTCACTGTCCCTCACTGAACGCTGCCTATCGAGCTTGGCCTGGGACGGCCGAAGGTCTTGCTTATTTTCCTGAGCAGCGCATTTCAGTCCCCATCCTCCCCATCGCCCACAGGGATGCGTGGCTGGGGAAGAAATGAACACATAGCAGGAAACCCTGCTCCTCAAGTCTCCCAAGACTGGGACATCACGCGAGAACTGCTGACGGGCTGATGAAGAGCCCACCAGGTCACTCCAGAACTGGGTATCCCGGAGGCAGGAAACTAGAAAATCCCATGGACGAAAGGGTATGTTAGTTAATCTAGCACAAAATGTTCCTTGGCAATAACAGCAGAATCTTTCAACATCACACAACTTTGTGAAACAAAAGAACCGTCTTTAAAGTCAAAACATCCATCAAATTTAAAGCCACACATATAGCACCAATATCTGCCACACGCCACCAAGATGCGCGTGCCCACAGTGGGAAAGGGTGGGGGGGGGCGGGGGCGGTGCAGACCTGCCCGGGTGGTCGCAGTGAAGCCGTAATTTTGAAGTGAACATTTTTGTGGCAGATGCTTCTCCTAAGAAACACTGCATCATCCAATAAATATTTGACTAACATCCATTCTGTGCTTTCCGGTGACGGCAACTGACTTCTTTCTGAGACCTAATGAGAAACGAGAAATCCTGTGGACTTAAGAGCAGGACTCATCCCAGCAAGCCTCACAGGGCCACCAAACTGGAAAGCAGACAACATGCTGATGTGTCAGCAACAGGCTTAACACGGTCAAGACTTCAAAACCCCCAGGCCCTTCTTCTCTGCACAATGTGGATGAATATATATCTTTGCTATACAACTTCAAAACATGGAATAGTTATCCTTTTCTCTTTGCTATATATAATATATGTCTTCCAAAATACATCGTCAGTATGTATATCTGAAAAATACTGTACAAAAAAAGAACTTCCTATAATTAATTACTCTGTATAAACATTAAACAATTTAATCATCTCTCCTTTGGGTCTCGAGTAAACATCAGAACTGATTGGGTCACCACAGTTGGTGACAACACCACTGCCTTCTGAGATACACCAGTGTCTTTTACATTCATGTTTCAGAAAGTCCACTTTATAAAAGCGCGTACGTTCAAAAGCAAACAGAGAAAAGAAACAAAAGCTCCAGAGTCATTAATTTATGAAGCAGTCAGAAAGAACACCACTGGGGAAAGGGGCCGTATAAAACACCAACTCATTAACTTAACTGATTTTTAAAAACAGCAAGGTATAATAAGTCACAAAAATATATATATTACAAAAAATGGGGGAAACTAAATCTTAAGTAATTGATTGTTTTGAATATCAAGAGGGCTATGGAAAAAGTTAGCTATAAAAGTGGGGGTGGGTGCGGGAGAAGGGAGAGAACAGAACCAAACATCTCGATGTCAGACCTGTTCTAAGATGCGTTTTTGTTTTTGGCTCCTGTACTGATACATCGACCCCTCCTTCTTACACCTGGCATTCTCTCGGCTTCCCTGTCCCGGGAATGTTCTGGGCATGCTCAAATGCATTGCTGTGATTTTTGTTTTTTAAAAGAGGGTGGAATTCTCAGGGAGGGAAGATATCCTACGTCCACTAGTAATACTCAGGCAGCATGCTCTAGCGTACAATAGGATTATTGCTTCAGGTACAGACAGTGCAGAAACACACTCTGTGTTCTATAATAATAGTACTCTTACTTAGCCGGAGTCGGTAGAATTAAAAGGAAACTTAGTAGATAGCGGTAAGTAAATACGGGACCTAACAAATCTAAACAGCACTTTAAACTTGAAGACGATTACCACCCAAACCGAAGACGCAAGGAAAGCAACGGACGACTGAGTCGCGCTGCGGGGCAGTGCCCGCTGATCCTGCGCACTGGGTTAGCACGGGGGCTTACAGGTTGAACAGAAACAAGAGCTTGTCGTCTTCAAAACTGAGAGCTACCATGTCACCAGGGCCCTTTGCGGTGGGTCCACACGCAGGGCCTTGGAAGAGCAGGGAAGAGCGACCATGAAGCCACGTGGAAAGGGCAGGAGTGGGGGCGGGAGGAGGGGGCAGGAAACCCCAGAGAGGTCTCCACAGTCCATTGAAAACATGGCACCTTTTTCTTTTTTGGGAGCTGAGAGAGGACGAGAGGGTCATCTGGAAATGGCAAGTGCAAAGGAACGCACGCGTGCGCGCACACGGGTGACCACACACATGAGCACAAGCGTATGCGCGCGCGCGCACACACCACGATGTGAGTCGGTCCTGTGGGTCGAGGCCTCTGGTAAAGTGCTGACGGCGGGCAGGCGGGTCCGGGTGCGGGGCTATCGGACCGGAGACCGGGTCGCCTGGTCGGAAGCCAGCCCCCCCTCCGTGCGCCATCTTACAGGGGCCCGTGCCTGGCCTCGTACTTGGCCAGAATGTTCTTGCACTTGCCCAGCTCCTTGCGCAAGTCAGCCACCTCCTGGCGGAGGGCCGAGTTCTCCTTCTCCAGGAACGAAGCTCGGATGGCGATCTGGTTCTCCTTCAGCCGCCGGGCGTCGCGGGAGCGCTTGGCTGCCATGTTGTTCTTTCTGCGCCTCGCCCAGTACTTGTCATCCTGCTCGTTAGTTACAGAGGGAACAAGAAACAAGATATTAGATTTCGGCAGAGCTGAGTGGCGGCCGGGGCTCTGTGCGGAGGCAGCAGCCCCGGTGTCCTAACGTGTGTCTCCCTTCCTGACCGTCTCTGCCCAGCCGAGAGGAGGGTCCCTGGGCCATGGCTTCCTCCCCAGAGCAAGGACCAACCCGTCCCAGCGGCCCCCACTCTCTGTGCCCTGCAGAGTGTGCACCCCACGAGGAGAGGCCAGCGGCTGACGAAAGCAAGTGGCTCATCGCACACCCTAAAGTGCATTCCAGATTTCCCCAATGCGTCCTGCCGAAAATTTTATTTTACGAACCCTTCTCTTCACGGGCACTCATGTGCTTTTCGATATAAGTTGATACAATGCTGTCAGAGGGCAACTCCGCCATATCTACCCACGATTCAAATGCGCACACCGCTGCTCCAGCAACCCCCCCCCCCATATCCCACCCTGGAACAGTCTTCACGCCTGCGTCCAGACGCGGGCACACCGTGTTGACTGCGGCCCCGTTTGCAATACAACAAACATGGGGAAGAAACCCGCCCTGACTGGTGGCTCAGTTGGTGGGGGCGTCGTCAGTACACTACTAGGTTGCGGGTTCGATCCCTGGTCGGGGCGTGTACAGGAGGCAAACGATCGTGGTTTCTCTCTCACGTCAGTGTTTCTCTTACCCCCACCCCCACTCCTGCTTCTCTCTTAAATCGATAAACATCCTTGAGTCAGGATTAAAGAAAAATAATTTAAAAAATTTAGAAAGGTAATGATCAGTAAGAGGTTTAATAGCTACACTGTGATGGAGAATACTGTGCAGCTGTCAAAATAATGATCCAGAAAGTTGTTCGTGATCTAGCACCACGGGGTGGAGACCAGGGTGATCTGTGGGTGCATATGTGTGGCCTCATCCCACTCTGGTCAGAAAACTGTAGTGTTACATGTTCATGGAAAGAGGCCCAGAGGGGTTTGTGCGAAGCTGTCATTAAGTGGTCCCTTTCACGGGGGGATTCAAGGAAGGAGGCTGAGGACAGAGGCAGCACCCATTACTTTGTGTTTTATATTCGTCTTAACTATGAGAATAGTATAAAATGGGCAGTTACACTTTGGTGATTAAAAACAGAGACTTAAAAAATAAACTTCCACCTGCCACCGATCAATACACTCATGTTGGTGGCTAGCATTCAAAGAATTTACTCTAATTTCCTGCGTAACTGTTCTCTAGGCCTTAATTAGTCTACGTAATGTTTAACTGTGGTCAACAAAAAAGCAATCCTTTTTCCTCCTGCCCCCCCCACTGCCCCCCCTGCCAGAGGAAAGGAAACTGGGCCTGGGCAGACTGGGCAATGCAAACCTTCAGACCTTCCTAACTGATGAATGGGGCCATCTGGCGAATTCTGCCACCCACCCTGCCTTGTTTTCGATGACTTGCAAGAGCAAACCCCTGGGTCCTAGCAAGCCTAATACCTGCAGTAACATGCCACCCAGAACAAGCAGGCAGGGCCAGCTCTTACCCTTTCCCAGGATTCCAAGGGGCAGTTGGCACTGGAGGAGGTCGCATGGGTTAGGGCCAAGGCTGCAAGCCAGGTCCAAGGTCAGGGGTCCAGCACCATACCTGCCCACTACCCCTGGCAGACATGCGCCCTGCACAGGGACAGCAAGTGTGAGACAGAAGGCGTGTGCAGGCACCTTCTGTCTGCCTTTCACAAGCTGGGACTCTGAACTTACTTACAGAGCACTTTCTATACACTTCATAATATGTAACAAAGCGAAAAAGAACGATCTTCCCAATAGCTGGTACCAGAACCGTTCTCAGAGAGGAGTGAGCCTGGGGCAGGTGCCCATCGGCTGTTGGTGGGATTTGTTATTTGTGTCTCCAAAAGGGAATGGTCGGTAGGGGGCAGTGCAGGAGGAAGGGGAGAGGTCCCACCAGCCATGAGAGGCTGGGAGGGGCCCTGGGGAGGGAAAGGCTTCCCAGGGGTGAGTGGGCCCGAGTGAAGCCTGCAGCTCCGACGACGTGGTTTGCGTCACTCTGTCAGTCAGCCCACCGTGCTCCTCAATGCTCCTGGGAGAGCGGCTCCCGAGATCATTCAACGGAGCGGCTGACTCAGGATGTATAAGGACCTACACCCAGGGGACCGGGGCTTGGGCGGTGATGAAGGGCAAGCACAAGCCCCTGGAAAACTGCAGAAGCTCTGCATGTGGTGGGGGGACAGACGGGGGTGCAGGCCATGGACTTGGCGGTTTGTGACCAGGGCCTAGGGGCCAAGGGGTGACCACTGACTGCAGAGGAACAACCAACTCTGTCTCTCAGAGCTCTGCTCACCTCCCAGGTGCTACATCTCCCCGCCTCACCTGTGGACGCATGCAGCCGAGTTATGAAAGGTGAGGGGTGGGGAGGTGGGAACAGGAGAGAAGCCCAGGAAGCAGAGGGCAGGAGTGACGGAAGGACTGTCCTGCCTAGAAAACCCAGGTTGCTGCCCTTTGTATCGCAGGACAGTCAGGAGGGGAAAACGGGCCTCTGAGGGGGCTGACAAACGTGGCCCTGTGACCCCCACCCAGCAGGGATCCCCTCAGTCTGTCCCACCATCTTCCCGAGGGGCTCATATGTCCCGCACCAGCCCTCTCCTCACAGAACAACATCCCTTTTCCTCACCACACTAGCAGGTCCTTGGGGGTCCCTGCTGGGTGGGGGTGCTGCCTCGCCTTGGAATCCCCAGGGCTTGGCACACACTAGCATTTAAAAAGTATTTGTCAAGGGACTTGAAAAGTGTTATGACATCGAAGTAATTAAGCTGAGTCTCAGCTAGGAATCCCATATGTCACCCCCTAACTCTCCCAGGGGTGCATGAGGCCCCAAGGAATGGCTCAAGGGCGGGAGTGCAGGCAGCTGTGGGGAAGCCCGTCTCACTGAGCAGGTTTGCTCACGCAAGGCTGGGGCCTCAGACAGCTCCCCCACCCCCGCCCGGCTCAGCACTCTCTGCTGGAAGGAGAAATATGTTATAGCTCTGCTTCTGGCCTCGCACGGGTTCCTGGTCTGTGGCCTGGGGCTTCACTCACAACTGAAGACACCTGAGGACACGGAGCAGCAGAAAGCGGTGTGCAAAGGTCAGGCCTGACCACGACACAGTGACACACATAGTCCCAGTAAGACCCCTGCGGTCTCTTTGCCGCAAGGTTGTCTGGGTTATGAAGCTTGCTCTTTGCTTTGAACTTGGAAATCTGGACACCCTATGAAGGTCTGGCTGGAAGTGACATCTATTACTCGGCAGCCTCCTTTCAAACCACCCTCCATTCCAAAGGCAATCCACGCTGTGTGCACTCCCCAGTTGGGTGTGAAGGATGAGCAGGAACACGAGAAAAGAAAACCCATCCAGATGAAAGAAGATATGTAATCGCCCGGAACCTAACCCTAGGGTGTCCCCTGCCCACCCCGCTGTAGGCGAACCGTCGATTCCCTGGTTGGCTTAGATTTTCTGCTGTTTTACTGTGCACTTTCCTCCCATGAGTCTCAGGGGCATGGCTACTGTTGTCAGAGAAGAGTCCCCGCTGTAGTGGCCGTTCTGGAATGCAGAAGACTCGGGGACCGGGCTAGGTCTTACTCTACCTAGCACTCGGCAGTGTTCACCTTATCTTTCTGCTTCTCTGATTCTTCAACTACAAAATGGTAACTTGGTCTAATGATTCTCCGAGGTCCCTTTCAGCCCCGACATGGGATGGTTCTGGGTCACTCAACGTGATGTCAGGTGTACAGACAGCAGCAGTGATTCAAATCTGCTAAACACTTCTCCCCCCAAACCCGCCCCCACCCCCCAGTGCTCTTTCCAGACAGGAGAAGCCGAGGGGACTAGTCTAACTCAGTGCCAGGACAACGTCCCACATGCCCTCCCCCCCGACTAGGAGCCAGGTTCCTTCTGAACCACATTTAGGTCTCAGAAACGGGGGTCAGCAAAAAGGAAGGGGCTAAGCGTGCCCGGTTCCCATTTCTTGAATGGGTATATCCTACCTTTGTTGTCTATATACTTGGAAAGGAGCATAAACAGAGAAGCATAAGCAATGGCTCATCGAAAGTGGTTCTAATTTAACATTAGTTGACATGGCATCATTTTGGGAATGATTCCCTTCACTAAATGTGTCAGAGTAATTTTAAGTTGCATCTGACTTCCTAAGATAAATCTATTTTCCTTTATAAATAATGTATCCTTTCAACACAGCAGAGAAAACCAACCTGGAATTAACCTTTGGTCGGGATACTTGAGCGACCATTAGTTGAGGTACAGTGTGAGCATTACGTATAAATGGTGTCCGGGGACCCACCCTGGTCATCCGAGGTTGGCAATGTGGAGACAGGGCCTGTGTCCAGCTTTATTGCTGAGGCCTTCAGGGAAATGGCAGCAATTAATTATCAATACATTCCCAAAGGGAATTCCCCTTGGCAGACTAGGAGATTAACGTGCCCTTCCCAAATAATTGTCTTTCTCTTCCCAAACGTGAAAGGGAATTTGCCTCCTTCGCGGGCTGCAAACCACGCCCACACTGAAGACACCCAGAGAGGAGGCGACTTGCCAAGAAGTGGGACTGCAAATCCAGAGTCCTCTGTTCATTAGCTTGTGGGATCTTCCCGGGGTCACACTTGGGATGTGCCGCTGGGTCCCCCCACTCTCCGTGTGCCCACGGCCTGATTACCAGTTCCAATTTACCTTCAGGTCATCGGGGATGAAGACTTTGCGGGCTTTCTTAATCATGGGCTGCGGTTTCAGCTCTTCCTCAGAGAACTTGCGTTTGCGGGGGTCGAACATTTCCTGACCGGGGATGCTGGAGAGGGCGAGGTCTGCCGGGTCCGGCTCGTAACCCACCGGGACCTGGATGGTGTCGGGGTCGATGGGACTCGGTGTGTTGCGGTTGGCTGGCAACAGCTGACCTGGAACAACACAGGAGTTTGAATTCATCAACAGCCTAGCGAGCGACTTGCTGATGCTCCCGGGGGAGTGATGAGAGTCTCACCGTTACTTATATAGGGCCCTAACGTCATTTACCTTCTTCATCCTCACCAAGCTCCTGAGAACACAGCAGGCTGAGGAGGCCTTGCCTCTGATCAGGCACAACGAAGACCCACAAGCACGTGCTCACAAACTAAATTTAAACCTGCTTGGGCTCATTATTCTCTTCTGTAACACATTTCCGGAGCACCGGCTGTCTGCTGGGCACTGTGCAAGGGCCAGTGGATAGAAATGCAGGACTGTTACCATCAAGGTATTTTCCGGGAAAGTCAGGGAATCAGACCAGTAACCAGCCAGTGCGGATACAGTGCAGACGCCTGGATGGACATAAACATCACATGCTGCCAGAGTGCGGGGAGAAGGACATAACACAGAGCAGGTTAGGGAACATTTCCTAGAGGTGACGCTCGGAGTAGCTGCATCTTGAGACAAAGGGTCATGCGGGCACGAGTACACAACAGGAGGCCGCATGTCTCAGGAACCACAGGCAGTCTCGGTGGCTGCAGCCCTGAATCAGAGCACAAGATGGGGGTGCAGAGGCCGGCGAGGAGTCGGTGCAAGAAATGCATTGAGGAAGGTGGGCGGTGGGGTGTCATATGAGGCCCTGTGTTGACGTCGGTGAAGGGCTCTGAGCACTGGAGCGACCAGCAGAGCTGAGGGCTGGAGAGGAGACTCCGGCGGCCTGAGCAGAGGTCGGAAAGGGGCAAGACTGGGCGTGGGAGACCAGCTCCCAGGCTGCTGGGACAACAAGCTTGAAGACTGACGGCGGGGACGCTGACAAGGGGAAAGGCCCCAGAAATATGTAACAAACTAGAAAGGACGTAATGGAGATGGTCTCAGTGCCACTTGGAGGTCTGCAGGGTAAACCACAGAAATGCACAGACGTCCCCAGAACAACAGGTTCACTGAACTCTGCAATTTTGTCTTATGGTCGAAGTGAGCTTGGTGACAGACCGCACTGTTTATGTGCAGAGCCCTGAGTCTCAGCCTCGAGTTTCACCCGAGTGTTTCAATCGTTCCTTTCACGCCCAGAGGACGAATGTGTGGACACAGCTCAGCTCTGTTTGGCCCATCTCCTCCTCTTCCTCACTGCCAATGGCTGGGCAGCGGGTGTGTCCTGTAGGTTTCATTAAAACCTACCCCAGCCTGAAGCACGAAGCCACTGGCTTGCACTCTAGCTAAAATGTAAAACCAGGTGCATCCGTTTTCTGGAAAGGCCTGGTGGGGAGCTTGCAAAATGGATGTTCCGGTGATCTTTTAGGTCCCCGTGCTGCTTTGAGCTCCCTTTGTCTCTGGCATGCCAAAGAGGAGGAGATGGGCCCCCGAGCCACTGGCAGAGGACAGAGGTTTCCCATTAGCCAAGTGGCAGCTGGGCTCTGGCTCCTAGAGACTGCTGTGCTCTGTGCTGGACGGTGTCAAGCTGGATTTGATCTTCTGCCTCTTGACATTGCCTCAGAAAATGAACCATATCTGAGTCAAGTGGGGATTTTATTTTCCCTTTAGAAATTCTCTCTGAACTTAATAACAAAGCTACCCAGTGCCCCATCTCTCCTACCTCCACCCCACCCCCACAACACACACACACACACACACACACACACACACACACACACACACACAGAGGCAAGTGCCCGCCTCTCCTACCCTCTGGAAGTATCTCTTAACTGATACGTCCAAAATCTAATGGCTCCAAGTTACTTAGGCTTCCTCCTTAGAACTTCAGTATTCTGTTTGTTATGCTATATACAAACTATTAAAATGTCACCCTTTATTGCTTTGTAAATTTAACCTTCACACACACACACACACACACACACACACACACACACTCCCTCCTCTACCAGACGCCGTGGTCTCCCGTGTTTTTCTACTTTACCCCCACCCCACCCCTCCCGCGGTGCCTACCCCAGAGCTCAGCTTCCACAGAGAGGGTTCTGCATTTAATGGTGGCCCTTTGAGAGACGAGGCTCTGACATTCATTTGTGGACACTCTAACAATCACGCTTCCCACTTAGGCATGACCTTCCTTGACATTCTTTCTCTCCAGCCCTTTTCTCCAATGTTAGTGGGTCAGCCCTACCTGCAGAATGGGGAAAACCTAACTGGACCCCAGAGGAGGTCAATGGCTTCCCCAAGGTCAAACAGCAAAAGGCAAAGGATGCGAAGAACCTGGCCAGGCTCCGCTTGGCCCCAGCGCTCCTCTCGGCCATGCTGGCTGTCTACATTTCCTACTGAGTTACCTGTGCTGGGCTCATTTTTCCCCCCTTTATTCCAAAATATCAAGTGTCATTGGGTGACAGGGCAGGGGGTCCTCACTGTTCTGACCTATCTTCTGAGGATTTGTAAAATTGTAAGAATTTTCCATGTCATCCTTGCACAGGGGCCATGCCAATCTCTGTATCGTTCCAATTTTTTTTTTAGTATATGTACTGCCGAAACAAGCACAGAATTTTCCATTTAAAAATGCATCATTACACAATTTTTAAAAAATACCAAAGACATTCATTGCAGAGTTTGAACAAATTCAGAAGTGTGTCACGAAGTCATCCTCTCTCTCGCCCCCAGTCTGTCTTGCTGCCCTTCGGAGAGGTGATCACCCTTAATTACTGGTGTGAGGCTTTTAAACCTCGGCTTTTACACATACATGGTTTAGCCAACCACATATCATAACTTTTTCAATATGTACAATTTCCCATGTTCGTATACATAGAACCACCTTGTTCTTTCAAGGTTTAGTAGTATTTACCTTTCGTTCTCCAATGGACGCACTTTTAGGTATGGGAGTACTTTTGTAGAAAAGATTCCAAGAAGTGAAACTTCTCATGCAAAAGGCACATACGTTTTATGTTTCTAAATAAACTGCTAAGCTGTCATACTTGTTCACACTTGCACCAACATTTATGAAACTGCGTTTCCCCCAAAATTAAATATTAATTTTTTAAATGTTTCCAAATGATATACACAAATATCACTGCTGTTTCCATTTGCATTTTGCTGGTTACTAGTGAGGCTGAACGTCTCGCGTGGGTACTGGTGTCTTCTCCTGGGTACCGCCGCTTCACGCTCTCGCTCCCCCTCTTTGTCTGAGAGATTCTGTTGCTTATTCACTTGTAAGAACTCTTTACAGACTATGAATATATCCTTCCATTTATTTTATCTACAGAAAATATTTTCTCCCAGACTGTTGTTTTTTAACTTGGTTTATAAGGTTTTTCACTATTGGCAAGATCTTACCTTGAAATGTAGTAATATCTTGAAGTCTTCTTATGGCTTCTACTTCCACACCTTCCTTACTCCCAAATTATATTACATGCACATGTATGTATACATACATGCGTGGGTATATGTATGTATATTACTCACTTTTCTCTGATACATATATAATTGATTTATTGGGTTAGCCAAAAAGTCCATTTAGTTTTTCCTGTAAAATAAAAGACACCTTTTTCATTCCCACCAATGACTTTATTGATTTGGATATTTTGAGTATGTCGGCTATTTCCCACCTGGTATAACACTGGTTGTTCTCAATTAATGTCTCGATTTGATCGCTATCAGCTTCAACTGGTCCACCCGACTGGAGCATCGTCCAGCGAGAACTCTCCAGCATGAAACTTCACAGACCACTTTTAACACGTTCCATCAGTCACAGCACCTTCTCCATGCACTGCACAAATCTTTTTTGCATTTCAGGTGCATTTTTACCTTTCTCAAAATAATAAAGTATAATACGCTAAAAATGTTGCGCATTTTTCCACTTTCAATGTTAAAATAGCTGCACAAAAATTCACCAATTTTGATAAGTTTCTTTTTTAACACATGCTGATATGACGGCTGTCACAATACAATTTGACAAAATTGTTTTGAGTGAAGTTGAAGACAACCAAGCACTACCAGAGCCATCTTATGGGAAAAACCAAACGAACTTTTTGGCCACCCCTATATATTTTTTAAACTTTGAGTCACCTAGGATTTATTTTTGTGTACAGTATAGGCAAGGGTCTGTACCCACGGCTTTCCAAATATCTTAATATAATCACATCTGTAAGGTGTGATATTTGATAGGGCCAGTTCTAACCGCCCACCATTGTTCATTTTAGAAAATTTCCTTTGGTGTTCTTATACCCTTCTAGTGAATTTCAGAATATGTTTTACTAAGTTATATTTAAAATTATTATTGGGACTTCTGAATGAAGACTCTATGAAGGCCATAGGTTAATTTAGGCACAAGTGGTCTCTTAAAAATATTGAATATATCCAGAACATACTCTCCATTTTTATTTTTGGGGTTTTGGTCTTTTTCTTATCTCTAGCAGTTAAGTCATAGTTTTCTTCATTTTAATTTTCACATTTTTGCTAAGTTTAGCCCTTAAATGTTTTATAGTTATTCCTAGTACAAATTTCCCCCGTTATACTTCCTAACTGGTTATTGCCTGCATATAGGGAGCTACTGGTTTTAAAATGCTGAGTTTTTTTTTTTAATCCAGCCACTTCACCCTCTTATTAATGCTAACAGTTCTGACTTTTTTTTCACTTCTCTTAGTTTTCTAAGTAAAATAACCTTATCTTTTGCCTCTAGCGACAGCTGTTGCTTTCTTTCAATGTTCATAATTCCCACTTAAAAAAAACCTCACTGCATTGGTGAGACTCTGCAGATGAGGGGTACAGGGGGTGAGGCCGCGGACCCCCCTTGTCCCAGACTTGACTGGAAGAGGCTGTGACCTCCACACCTGAAGCATATGGAGGGTTGTTCTCGAATCCCAGCAGATGCAGTGGGAGGAATTAAGGCAGTTTCAACCCTTCCTCCCTATCATACTAAGTTTTGTTTTTGTTTTTTTTTAATAAGAAATGATGCATTGAATTTCCTCAAATGCCTTTTTAGAAACCGTTGGGATCATTATGTGGTATTCTCCTGTATTTG